AAACTTCACACACTTGTTCTCTGTGATTATCTAAGATAATTGGCACAAGTCCCATAACTCTGATTTGCTTTTTTACATAATTATGCCCCTTTTTTGACTTAGAAATTTTTGGTTAAGTTTTTGCGTGTAAGCTGGTATCTCCATAACTACTGAAGGGAATGGATTGAAACTTCACACACTTGGTCTCTGTGATTATCTAAGGTGATTGGTACAAGTCCCATAACTCTGAATTGTTTTATTTCATAATTATGCCCCTTTTTCGACTTAGAAAATCTTGGTTAAGTTTTTGTATGTAAGCTTGTATCTCCATAACTACTGAAGGGAATGTATTGAAACTTGAAGAGTTTTGTACCTTTTCGGACAATTTTATGTATTCATATAGGTAAGCATTATTATACTCAATGAAAACCCTTGTGACAAATTTTCGAATAGTCGAGCTTTACTGTCCTCCGACAGTTCTTGTTGCCTGTAATAATAATTTATATTGACTAAAACAGAAATTGATCACCCTTTTTACATAACATTTTGTAATACCATCAGGCTCCATGCTGTTGGTACACGTAGGTCAATTTTAGTATTGAAATCCCTTAAACCATTGAATGGACTGTTCCAAAATCAAAGCCGGTTGAATCCATTACACAAATTCAGGTTAAATTGATACACTATTGTTTTTAGCTCGACTTTTCTATGAAAAGGGGAGCTATCCTACTCGCCCCGGCGTCGGCGTCGGCGTTGGCGTCACACCTTGGTTAAGTTTTTCGTACCACCCCACTTTATTTCAGAAGTATTACAAGTATGGCTTTGAAACTTACCATACTTGTTCACCATCATAACCTCCATCTACAGACAAGAGTACATAACTCTGTCAAGGTTTTTGACAGAATTATGGCCCTTTTTTGACTTAGAAAGTGTATTGAGCTTGGTTAAGTTTTTTGTACCACCTCACTTTATTTCAAAACCATTGGAGGTATTGCTTTGAAACTGACCATACTTGTTTACCATCACGACCTTCATCAACAGACAAGAGGACATAACTCTGTCAAGGTTTTTGACAGAATTATGCCCCTTTTTGACTTAGAAAATACATTGAATATGGGTAAAATCCACTTATTGCCTTAACCCTTTGAGATATTGCTTTGAAACTTTTAATGCTATTTCACATCATTACCCCCATCTGTACGCAAGAGAAGGTAACTCTGTCAAGGATTTGTTTTAAAAATTAAGGCCTTTTATCGACTTAGAATCTTGGTTAAGTTTTTAGTACCAGTCCACTTTTTTGACTGAACTGTTTGAGATATTAATTTGAAAGTTGGAATACTTGTTTACAATCATGATTCCCAAACATGTCCAGGAGAAGGTAATTCTGTCAAAGATTTTATTTGAATTATGGCCCTTAACTGTCAATGTTTTGTATTATAGGCAAGCACTAAAAAACTTAAAAAATCTAAAAAAATTCATTCCTATCCACTTGTTCACTTTACCATAAATTATGTCATATAAACATTGCTGTAATATTCAAGGGTATCAAACAACTAGTTCACTTTAAAAATACAGAGATTCTTGTATTGCCTTTTACTGCAAAAACTTTTTTTATTGGCAAGCAATAAAAAAGTCGAGCGCGCTGTCTTACGGACAGCTCTTGTTCTCTATATTGTGGATCAAGAAAAAATTCTGCCATATAGTATTAGAACATTTATTGATTTAATCATTTATGTTGCCTTTTATGATGTTGTCTGGCAGGACTGTATTTGTGTATAATTCACATGAGTTTATCATAACCCTACCACACTACATATCTTAAGTGGACTGGTCCATCTGTCAATTTGGACAAAACTGTTTATCTTTTTTAAGGGAAATTTCAATATACCGGTACTTACTGACTGTGATTAACCCATTGCCAGATATATACGCCTTTCTACGCCTTTTTCACCCCCCCCTTTTTGCCTTCTCAAATGGTGAAAAATTGCCTTATCTAGGCCCCAAAGCACTTGTTTTTGTTTGAGAAATGTTATTTAAAAAATTCACCACTTTTTTGGCGCCGTCCCCCATCCAAAAGATACATCAGGGGGTTGCCAGAAGGGGGATATGCCCCCTTCTGTTTGGGGGGTTTGAAGGGGGGCGGAGTCCCCCTCATCGCAAAGAAAATTTTGGACTTGTGAGAGGCTAAAAATAACCCCAGGTCGATCATAAGGTAACGTGTAACCAATGCTGAAAAGCCTTTGACTCTATCTCAATCCATTGAGAAGTGGCAGCACTTTAAAATCAATTTTGATAGAAATAATCAACGCAAAATAGTGATTTTTGGCAATTTTCAGATGTCCCCTAGTTGCCATGGTGACAGGAAATTTAAGACTGAGCATGTTGTTACAAAGGCAATGGTCCAGTCAACATTTGTGCCAAGTTTGATTAGTATTGAAGCAGCTTTTATCGTTTTATAGCAACTTGAACTTGTAACGGGAGACTTTTCAATGAAAACAGCCATTTTTCATAAAATGCTCATGGGGTAATGGGTTAAAAAGCAATCAGTGCAGTCATGGCTGAAAAAAAATTGCCTTTTTAAAAAAATATCATATGTTTCTCACAGTAACTTGTTATTTTACTTGCTGGCATAAATGTGAACTATTTAAAATTTCCATTCTCTTTTAACCAGTGAGAGACTTTAAGAAAAAAAATAGTTATAACAATATTGTAAAGTTTTATGCAAACATACATAATAGTTTTAAGTAGTTGCTATTCATAAAGAAAAAGAAAATATTTATTGAAAAGATTGCGATATTATAAAGGTTTCGACTGTGATGTAAACTTTTAATCAGGTAGTTTACAACACTATGATAAATAGTTGTATATTAAATAACTTCCTTATATCTACATGTACATGTTTGTATGGATGTCAAGTAAATAGCAAACATATATATATTTACATGTACCTTTTTGATATTTTAGATGCATTGAGAGTCCCCTCACCTGTTGAATATTTGTAATGAATTTTTGTTGCTTAGAATTTTGATCAATCCAAGTTGAAGTGATTGGAATACCAAAATACAAAATTTAAGTTACTAGCACAAAGTACAAAATTTAGCAATGTCAAGTATAAGAATAAGAAAAAATGATGAATGAAAAATAAAAGAACAAATGAAAAAAAAAAATTCTATATTTCTTAAACATCCTTGTTGTTCAAGGTGGTTTTCTTCCTAGTAATACAAGGACGTGATTATGAGTAGACAAGGTGTTGTTTACATTCGAATTCGAATTGGTATTAGGAATACATGCCAGTAAACAAGTCATCTTTAAATGCAAAATTTTGAAACAGATTCATTTAACAATTTTTTTATATCCTTGGTCGGTATGTTGCATTTTAAACATCTTATTTGTTGCAGTGTGTTCAAGCTTTGCTTGTAATAATGCGAACCACCGACGTTCCGTAAGCTAGCTGGATAGCTTCCTCATATGAAAGACAGGGACTTCAGATTCTTTCATGTGAGGAAACTATCCAGTTAGCTTAAACCCCAGTCACACTAGAGCTTAAGATTACTTGCGACCACCGGCGACTTGTAAAACTGACGATCATCAGCGATTGTCTGCGACCAAAACCATTTTTGCACGTATTAATTTACTTCTGCGACTATCGTAAGACCAGTCATCATTGACAATCGCACGACAGGTCATAAGCAAACGTACGATGGTCTCAAGATTGCGTGGGATTACTTACGACTACCCGTGACCTGTCATGCGATCACCTACAACTTGTCGTACGACCATCACACGATAACTAAAGACTACTCAAGATTATCAGTGACTAGTGGCAATTTGTAAAGACTGTCGTAAGATTGTCGCACTTCTGAACGACCATCGTGCGACAGCCTAAGACCTTATAAGATCACTAGCGACCTGTTTGATCGCAAGGAGGTTTTTGTGCAAGCTCAAAAACCTCTCTACGACTGAAATTGGTCGTGGGACCTAAATAAGATAACCTGCGACTGTCAAAGATCACCGATGACCGTCGTAAGACGTTTTAAAGATTGTCCGCGACCAGAGGTCGCTGGTGATCGTGAAATGGCCTTCACTGGTCGTAAGCTCTAGTGTGACTGGGGCTTTACGGAACGTCAGGTGGTTCTACTCTGGTGCCCGTTTGTGCCTGAAATAATGCACGGAAGGGCACCTGAGGTCTTCCTCCACCAGTAAAGCTGGAACGTCGCAATATGACCTATACTGTGTTGATGTGACGTAAAACCCAAATAAACAAACAAATAATGCAAAGGAATTAATATATAAACAAGAACATGTACATAAATTAAGATCAGCTAAAAGTCGAGTAATTTGTTGAAAAGTTTGAATGTAAGGGAAGTCTTATCTTATTTAATGATATAAAAGATTGGATCAGATTGTTATGTTTTATGTTAGTTTTGATGTTTATTAAATTTGAACATGATTCTTCAATTAACAAGGTGATGTTTTGAGGATTAGGAGTTAAAATGATGTACCTTAATGTAGACATAGGAAGATTTACATTAGTTTTGCACCTGTAATGAATGAAAATTTCATTTAGAACATTTAACAGTTTGGTCTCAATCTCATTTTACCTAATAGAATTGTTGATGTGTTTCTGATATTCTTTAGCCTCCACTTTTCTAAGCAAAACCAGAGCTAATAGTTGTCCTGAACCATATTGCAGCCTTAGGGTTGATTAATCTTTTTGGTTAAGTTTTAACGTTTAATAATGGTCATGAACTTTGAAGTATATTACACTATGTACCAGTAACTTTTAATATTCCGGCACTGAGGAAAGTGGAGTACAATGCTCCTCTGGCAGCTCTTGTTAAAGATATATGTTTATGTTGCATATCTGAAATTTACATGTAGAAACAATTCAGCAAGATTAATGTAAGAGGTCACATTCATTCCGTAAATTTAAATTAAAACTTAAGATTATTCTTTTTTCATGACGTTACTTCATCTTAATATTTGTTAAGAATTTATCGGAATATTGTTGTTTGCTTCAGATGGCGTTTCGGATGAGGTCCTCCAAATTTCGACACATTTACGGAGATGCCCACAGGAAAGAGAAATGCTACGAGAACATACGATTGACGAGAAACGCACATGACAGTAACTTTTGCGCTGTTAATCCAAAATATCTTGCCGTTGTGACGGAGTCATCTGGTGGCGGAGCTTTTGTTGTATTACCTTTAGCAAAAGTATGATCTTGTCTTTTTGTATAAACAATAGAATAAATGTTTAGCACACAATTGTGAGAGACTACAACATTCAACCAAGCTTCTAGTGTTCATGATTATAAGCTTTTTGGTATGATGGTTGTATGCACTTGTTCTGTCTGAGCAATAACAGCTTCATATTTTATAAAGGAACGATGGTCATATTTCATCAGTCTTTTGACCACACTTTGTTCTGTCTGAGCAATAACAGCTTCATATTTTATAAAGGAACGATGGTCATATTTCATCAGTCTTTTGACCACACTTTGTTCTGTCTGAGCAATAACAGCTTCATATTTTATAAAGGAACGATGGTCATATTTCATCAGTCTTTTGACCACACTTTGTTCTGTCTGAGCAATAACAGCTTCATATTTTATAAAGGAACGATGGTCATATTTCATCAGTCTTTTGACCACACTTTGTTCTGTCTGAGCAATAACAGCTTCATATTTTATAAAGGAACGATGGTCATATTTCATCAGTCTTTTGACCACACTTTGTTCTGTCTGAGCAATAACAGCTTCATATTTTTATAAAGGAACGATGGTCATATTTCATCAGTCTTTTGACCACACTTTGTTCTGTCTGAGCAATAACAGCTTCATATTTTATAAAGGAACGATGGTCATATTTCATCAGTCTTTTGACCACACTTTGTTCTGTCTGAGCAATAACAGCTTCATATTTTATAAAGGAACGATGGTCATATTTCATCAGTCTTTTGACCACACTTTGTTCTGTCTGAGCAATAACAGCTTCATATTTATAAAGGAACGATGGTCATATTTCATCAGTCTTTTGACCACACTTTGTTCTGTCTGAGCAATAACAGCTTCATATTTGATAAAGGAACGATTGTCATATATCATTATTTTTTTGACCACACTTTGTTCTGTCTGAGCAATAACAGATTCATATTTTATAAAGGAACGATTGTCATATATTATCAGTCTTTTGACCACACTTTGTTCTGTCTGAGCAATAACAGCTCCATATTTGATACGATTTGAAGCAAACTTGTAATATAGCCTATATTTCTAGCATTTTGTGGTTTCGGCATTTTAATAACTTAAATAAGCATGGCCATCATACATTGCAATTTGGTGACTCCTGGGCTAAAGTAGCACTTATTTCTCTTCTTGACCTGTACGTTATATGTCAGATTATTTTTTATGTAGCATAATTTAATGTAATTGAAAGGTTTTTGTTTTGTTTTTATAAAAATTTGTATACATGTATCAGACTGTATTAAATTATTATTTCTTTTTCAGACTGGTAGAGTAGATATAAATGCTCCGAAAGTTTGTGGCCATGCTGGTGGTGTGTTAGATATAAAATGGAGTCCATTTCATGATGATGTGATAGCATCCGGTTCAGATGATTGCACTGTACGTGTGTTATTATATTTAGCTGAACTTAATATGACCTTCATGACCTTATTATAATACTGCATGTTTATAATGTTGATACATGTATTAGTAGGTTATTAATTGTTAGGATTGTACAATCTATATACACGGTTACTGTGAATATACAAATTGATTTTGATTTTTCTCTAAATTAACAATTGTGCTGCATTAAAGAATTTTTAAAAAGATATTTGACAGGTTATATTGCCCTGTACAACTGATAGACATATTATATGACCAGTTTGAATGATTGGCATGTTATATGATCCAGTATGGGGCGTCCGTGGCCGAGTGGTTAAGGTCGTTGACTTCAAACCACTTGCCCCTCACCGCTGTTGGTTCGAATCCCGACAGGGACTTTGGATTCTTTCATGTGAGGAAGCTATCCAGCTATCTTACGGAACTTCGGTGGTTCTACTCAGGTGCCTGTTCATGCCTGAAATAATGCACGGAAAGGCACCTGTGGTTTTCCTCCACCAGTAAAGCTGGAAACGTCGCTGTATGACCCATGCTGTGTCGATGTGACGTAAACCCCCCCCCCCCCACCCCACCCAAAAAAAAAATATGATCCAGTATAAACTATTGATAGGTTATATGGCCAGTATTTATTGTTGACGTAAAAATTAGGCTGTATTAAATATTGATATGTTATATAACCCAGCATAAACCATTGACAGGTTATATGACCAGTTTTAAACACTTAAGCTGTAAAACTCTCATAGTGGCTGGTGTCATATAACCATTAAAAAATAACCTTTAAAATATCTTACTTAACAATAAGCTTAAAGTAACTTACTTATGCCTAAGTCACAAAGAAAACGGGCGCCGTGCGATTAAACGATTTTTAGAAAATCGGCAGATTTTTTGATGTCGTGGACACCGGGTGATTTTAAATCTGATACCTTGCGTGGTCATGAATGAAACAGTTGTCGGGCGATTTTTGCCGAATGGATTTTACAGAAAGAATTGAACGGATCGGACGGTCGCTGCCTGATGTCCGTACGGCGCCTGTGCAATTTAAAAGTGAATCGGACGGTTGCCGCGCAGGCGCCGGGCGACAATGACTTTACATTTAATGACATACTTCAGCCAGTTATTATGCCAGCAAAGAAGTCAGCTGCCAAAGCCAAGGCGAAGGCCAAGGAGATGGTCCGTGTTGTTGACACCGAGTCACCACGACCAGTATCGAGGCCGTAGAAGGCGAAAATCAATCAGACATTCGCATGAACATTGAAGAAAAAATTCTGTTTACTAGTATTCAAAAGAATTCACAAATATAATTTTGAGGCAATTACAACTTCTTCAAGCTGAAATTACAACAAACATAAGCAGCCCGGTCGCCGGATGACAAAACGATGACCGCCCGGTGCCTGTACATGAATCGTCCGGGTACCGGGCGATAATCGTTTGACTACTTGTCTCTATTCAGGCACCGGGGGGGGGGGGGGCCCGGCCGAGGTCGCCTGGACGCCATTTAAATCGGACGGTGTTTTAGTAGAACAAGAAATTGCCCGATCAAAAAATCCACTCGATGATATTTATACTCAGTGACCCCAAAAATTATCGTCAGGCCGCCGTTAGCTTTTAAGTATTACTTAAAACTCTAAGGCGCCCGCCCGATGAGCAAAATTTTCAGCTGCTGCCGTCCGATAGTCACTGCCGCCGGACGGATACCGGCCGATATTGCGATTTTTTTTGAGAAACAGACGCCGCCCGGCGGCATTTTCTTATTTGTGACCTAGGCTTTAATATGGCTTATTGTGAATTTGCATTACTTTGTTTAACCCATTTTGTTGATTTGAATTCAAATCATGTTTCAAACTTGATTTTGCAGGTGAAAGTTTGGCAGATTCCAAATGGTGGCTTGATATCTAACCTAAGCGAGTGGCAGGTAGATTTACATGGCCACGGTAGACGTGTAACGTATATAGAATGGCATCCCACTGCAGATAACATTATACTCAGTGCAGGACTGGATTACAAGGTAAAGTTTCTTTAGTATATGGCAAAGTTTGGTTTCCAGTTATAACGAGGAATCATGCGAAGTCTCGACAATCTCGTTGTATCAGGAGTGTGTCTTAGGATAAGAATTTATATAAAATATACACTGCTTTATATTTTGTTATGCATTGTATAACTCTGGCTATGCCCTAGTGATATAGTTCCACGCATCCAAACTCCAAACAGTAGTTTTGTTTAGCGATATTTTTTCTTTATAAATTTGAGTATTGTTTGAACTTCAGTGTATTATATGGAACGTGGAGCTAGTATATTAATGTTAGTTTTGTTTGAATTTCAGTGTATTATATGGAACGTGGAGCAAGCAGAACCTGTGAATGTGATCAACTGTCACAATGATATTATACAGTCAATATCATGGAATCGTGAAGGCAGCCTCTTCTCTACAACATGCAAGGATAAAACTTTAAGAATTATTGACCCGCGTGTTGGTGATTGTGTAGCTGTAAGTAGTTAAAGTTTTTTTTTCACTTGACTATTTGAAGAATAAGGAGAGCTGTTGTACTCAACCCAGTGTCAGAGCCACACTTTGATTAAGTTTTTGCATGCAAGTTCAGGTATGAGCAAATCTACTGAATGAAATGGGTTGACACTTCACACACAATATTTGAGTTCACTGTCCAAGGTCCATAACTAATATGGATTTTTTTAACAAGTAAATCAAGAGAAGGAGAGAATACACATCAAACATCAGGATGGTTTGTAACTGGTTTATTTAAGGATCTACCGTTTTTGGTCTTTCGAGACCTTCATCAGGATATATTTCAAAGAAAAATGATTACTGAAGCACTAAAAAAGACGGGACAGAATGTGACGTATGTTACTATAATTAGATATATAAATGAGTTTTTGTGGGCAAAATGCCAAGTTATTTTTCCATATATTAAAATGTTTCAAATGTTGGTTAACCACAGATCATATCTATGTCAATGGCCTGTTTTTCAGCATGGTTAAAATGTTCATGTTCAACTAAAATGATTGTTTTTGCACAAATGTAGTTCTAACTTTGAAGTCTTAGGTTGGTAATAGTTACTGTGTAGTTAATATGGATTTTGATAGAATTATGGCCATTTTTGAACATAGAAAATTCTACATTATCTGACTCTTGTTTTACTATCAAGTACTGAGAATAGTCGAGCATGCTGTCCTACTGACAGGTGGTGTAAAATTTGAAGTATATAAAGCTATAAATGAAAAGTTTTGGCTCATTATTCTGTAAGAGACTTGTATTTGAAAAGTGACTTATTTGCTTTTGAATTTGATATGTTTGCTTTTGATTTTAAAATATTTGCTTCTGAATTTAACAGGTTTGCTTTTGAATTTAATGTTTGCTGTTGAATTTAATATATTTGCCTTTGAATTTAACAGGTTTGCTTTTGAATTTAATGTTTGCTGTTGAATTTAATATATTTGCTTCTGAATTTAACATGTTTGCTTTTGAATTAAATATATTTGCTTTTGAATTTGATAGGTTTGCCTTTAAATTTAATAAATTTGCTTTTGAATATAATATATTTGCTTTTGAATTTAACCTGTTTGCTTTTTAATTTATTATACGGTATTTGCTTTTGAATATCAGGAAGTCAATGATGTGTTCAAAGGTGTGCGTCCTATGAAAAGTGTGATGCTAGGGGATACGGGTAAAGTGTTTTGTACAGGTTTCCAAGGTAACGGTGAACGGGAGATGGCAATTTGGGATATAGTAAGTTGATTTATGTGTCAGACGGACAAGAAACTGTAAAATTGTGTTTATTAAAATTGTGTATATTCATATGATTTTTTAATGAAAAAAAAAAGAAGAAATTTTCAGATAAGAATATATATAGATATTGACTTTGCTTTATATACTTTCAACAAAATTTAATAAATTGTTAGAAGATTAAGATTGTTTTTAAAATCATTTTTCGAAACTATTGAATGATTGTAAATGTGTGAAATGAAATTTTATTTTTGGTATCTGTAGCTAACCTTGTTTCTAATATAAAGTTAGTTTGGAAGTTATGTTGTTGTTTTTTTTTCCAGAAAAATATGAAGAATGCTTTGACAAGAAAAACTGTAGATAACTCTAACGGAATATTGATGCCCTATTATGATCATGATACAAGAGTTGTCTTCCTTGCTGGAAAGGTATACTTAATAATTTGTTTTTGAGTATAATTGTTATTTGTCTCTCACCGCTGTTAAATAACTAATATAGGATTGGTAGTTGGTCACTTGAGGAAAAACTGGCAATTTCTGGTTAATTATCCAGAAAAACTGACTTAGTGGTAGTTGATCATTTGAAGGGAAATTGGTTATTTCTCGTTATCATTCTCACATGAAAAACTAGAGTTTCTGTTGGTTTTACCCAATCCCGGAAATTTCATTTTGCACCGGGATGGGTGGGGGGTGGAAATGACATCAATTTCCATGAACAAATATCTTATTGAGGTAAACCATTTGAAGTATGAAAGTATACGGCAGAATATGCAAGAAAAAATATCTGCATATGTTTACAGTTCAGATCGAAATATTTGTCCCTCAGATACCCGCCCATAGGCGGTAACGCCTTGTTACTGCCCAATAAACGGGATACCCTCTGGACATATATTCCAATCGGAATCGTAACATATGACAGATATTATTAAGAAAAACTGAGTTTATGGTAGTTGGTCACTTTCAAAAAATTGGTTATTACTGGATAATTATCCAGAAAAACTGACTGTGGTAGTCAGTCACTTGCTGAAAAATTGGTAATTAATGGTTAAATCTATATTTAGAAAGAAAAATAAAAACCGTGAATATTCTTTGAAAATCTGTGAACCAGAGAATTTACTTTAATACTGACTAAATATTTTTTACAAAAACATATCTTAACCATTATCAGTGAAAGGCATTTCAAAGCTATTCACTTATTATATAATAATAATGATTATTACACTGGAATTGTTACTATTGAAAGAAGTAATTAAGATGATCCTAGCTGTATATTTTATTTTAGGGTGATGGTAATATACGGTACTACGAGTTAACAGATGAGTCGCCATATTGTCATTTTCTAAATGTTTACGGATCGTCTTCCCCACAACGAGGCCTTGGTAAGTCTTTCTGTACTTTGTTTTCCCCACAAAAAAACATGGCCTTGATAAATTAAAGTATTTTCTAACTGATGAGATTTCTTGACAGTTAAGATTTATAGCTTTTGTTACTTGCATCGCCTAAAAACTGTTTTCTTCAAAATGTACCAGACCCTAAGTTGTGTAAAGAATGTTTTTAGTTTTAACTTGTGATGAATTATATAGCGTTTTGGTTAAATGTTTCTATTAAGTTACAAGTTACATTTAAATTAAATTAGTTTATTTTCGTAAGAAGGGATGAAAACTGTGTAATTATATTGAATGTGTAAATTGACATTATTATGAAAACTACTTGGACCATTGTAGCTTTTAACTAAAAATATGTGCATCTCTTTTATATCTTAATGAAGATCTAATAACAGCAGTTTTGAAATAATCTTAAACATAAAATGTTCCGGCTTGCACAACAGGTTAAGTTTTAAAGCACATTATGCCTCAGAAATCCATATTTACTTAATACTCTAGGTAGCAATATGTAAACAAAGTAGTATTTGACTTCCATACAGAATACTTATTCACAATAATTATGCCAGTTGCCAACAAAGTGAAAGAAGCAATGGCAAATGAGGCTTTTTTTGGAAACTGTAATGAGACATCAAATTTTTGTGAAATGAAAATGATAAATTTTTGGGGGGCATAATGGGCCTTTATATGTGATATAGAACTTAATAAGTTCAATATCATAACACCTTTGCAATTAAATTGCACTATATTAACGTAATTATCATTTATCATTAATTTATCATCAACGTAGTTATCATTTTAACAACTCTCAAAACTTATTTTTTTGTAGGAGTGATGCCAAAGAGAGGCTGTGATGCCAGTCGATGTGAGATAATGAGGTTCTACAAGCTACATGCTGCTCGAAACTTTGTCGAACCATTGTCCATGATTGTCCCTAGAAAGGTATTTGTTTTTCCATTATATACTGTGACAGGGCATCTGTTGCCAAGTGGTTAAGGTGGTTAACTTTAAACCACTTGCCCCTCACTGCTCTGTGTTTGAATCCTGACAAAGACTTTGGATTTATTCATGTGAGGAAGCTATCCAGCTATGCTTATGGAACTGTGTTGGTGTGACGTTAAACCCAACCAATAAAAAAAAATTTTACTGTGACAATCTTATTTATTTAACTGATAATTTTATCAAGTGTTAAATCATGACCTAGCTGATAAATTAACAAATGGTTATGATTGTACATGCATCTTCATTTCCTATTGAAGGTATTTGTTTGAAACTTCATGATTTAGGTCACTGATCAAGAACTGTAACTCCAGGAAGGATTTATAGTACATGGGTGAACATATAAAGTTCCACATCCAGGTTTTGTGTGCAATCTTTGAACCTGTCATAAAAATCAAAACGTATTTGTGGTCATGATTGTAGGTCACTGAGCATGACCTGTAACCCTAATTTGAACTTTTACAGAATTATCTTCCCTTTTTAGAAAAATACCTGTAAGACTCTGAGTGCTGAGAATGGTTAGGTACACTGTATTGTTAACAGGTATTAATTCTCTTTTAAAGTATGAAGATAAGCATGGATGTTCTATCTTTTAAAAAACAACCCTAGAATATTTCTATATTTCAGTCTAACATTTTTCATGATGATATTTTCCCTCCAACCGCAAGTGCAATACCGTCATTATCAGCTGATGAATGGATCAGTGGACAGAACCGAGAACCGATATTGATCTCAATGAAGGTAAGAATTGGGAACCAGATTAAAGGGAGGTAATATTTGATCAACAGTTATGGGAACTTTGTCTGATATGTGACAATGATGATTGTGTTGGTCTTGGACTTTACTATGATCATTGTAGCTTTTCATGTTTGTTTAACTAATCTACAGCAGTGGCTTAAATTATGCTTTGGTTTAAAGCTGCATGCCTCAAGATTGGCAAATGTACTTATGTTTGAAGAAAAGTAAAAATATTCACGATTCAAGAAATGATTTACATGTTAATACAGTCCAACCTCAATGTTGGTGGCAGTTAGTGTTAGAAAGGCTGTTGGTGGCAGTGAAATGTGCAGAACAGCTCAGTCAAATGGTCATAGAATGGAAAACAGAGTTTTACCAGGTTTTCCCCATTTTGTGAAATTAATAATGAGGTTATTTTATAGATTATGTGAGATATTTGTATTAGTAATTTTTAATGGCTGCACTGATTTGTACTTTGCACTTTTATATATCTTAAGTTTTTTTTGTTTTTATTTCTCAACTTAAGTTTGTTAATAACCTGTGTACAATTATAGTTTCTACATATAGTCTTTGTTTTAATTTTATTTGCAAAGGCTATAATGGTATGACAACTTTAATTCAACATTTAATTTACCTTTTATTGTTCTGTATTTGTTTGATACCGTTTACGAGTTGTAACATAATGTTTATTAGTGTTACGTTATGTGTATATTGCATGAATATTAAGTGAAACATTACTTCCTGATGAAAGAAATTTTTTGTGAAAAATGAAAATTATAATTTAAGGCTACAAACAATTTATTTTACCATGTATTTTGAAAGACGTCTTTGATATTTTATCAAATACTGTATAAGTGGATATTTCCATGTGCCGAAATGTTAGCGAATTTAAAATATCAATCCTTTTGTGTGATCATGCAAGGGTAGAATTTAATGACAGGTTGGCCAATATTTACGCCCAAGGACATTTTAGCGATTTTGTGAATTGCGAAATTCGCAAATATTTCCACGTTGCTAAATTAACCACCTCTACAGTAGTAACACAGTACAAATTTGTTATTAGCTGATTTCAAATCTGTATCAACCAATCAGATTAACTGTTTTCTAAATGGAGAGTTCATTAATTTGTATCAACCCATCAGATTGACTGTTTCCTAAATGGGGAGTTCATAAATTTGTATCAACCAATCAGATTGACTGTTTCCTAAATGGGGAGTTCATAAATTTGTATCAACCAATCAGATTGACTGTTTCCTAAATGGGGAGTTCATAAATTTGTATCAACCAATCAGATTGACTGTTTTATAAAGCAGAGTAACTTACCTTATGTGAAAGCATTTTTTCTGTTAGCTGTTGATATGTTTATCGTCTGGCTCCAACTGTGAAATAATGTTGATGTGTAAACCAAAAAATGTCAATTTATTCTAAAATGTATATATTGTGTTAATAATTTTGTTTGTATGTTAGGTGTTGATTGTTGTATAAATGTTGTGTTGTATGTATGTGTAAAGGAAACAAATGAACTTCTCTCAAACTGTAGATTATAAGTAGAACATAATTACATATAGAAGAATAGGTAAAAATAAGAGTTAAAAAGTCACACACTAACAGATAAAATTTTGAAAGTTGATCTGACAATATTATTAAGCCTGACACAGGCTGGCCTGGCTCTGTACTGGTTACAAAGGTTAATCACTTTAGGACTCAGGAGTGTATAGGTTTAGAAATTTTGTAAATGTTGTAATGTTTATATTGTATAGGACCAGCATGTTGTGAATGATCCCTCATACACCCCATCACGGGCTGGCGTTCCCCAGGTAATGTCATTGCCAATACTAACCAAACATATATGCTTCTGCCTTTACTACCAATATATAAATGAATATTGCATACCTGTAGTTTAGTATTGTATTGGGCAGTATGTATCAGCTCATCTTGAAGTCAGGAACATTGTCATGATTTTATGAAGTTTTAGCCAAAGTTTCTGCACTGCTGATGTGAATTAGACTCTATTTTATCTACCAGATTGTTAACCTGTCTAAATAGGGTGTCCCCATGGCTGAGTTGGTAAGGTTAGTGACTTCAAAACCACTTGCCCCTCAGAGATGTGGATTTGAATCCAGCCAGGGACTGTGGATTCTTTCATGTGAGGAAACTATCTTACTAGCTTACAGAATGTAGGTGGTTCTACTCAGGTGCCCATCTGTGCCTACACAGAGAGGCATCAGGGGTCTTCCTTCACCAGTAAAGCTGGAAAGTCACCATGTGACCTTAACGGTGTTGGCATGACGTAAACCAAACAAGATTAGAAATCATGAAGAAAAATGTTTTGTTTAGATCAGATTTCAAAATTGTAACATGAATTAGCCAACTTGAAGACTGAACTATGACATTGTGTGATGTCATAGTAACAGAACTTCTCGTTCATGGTACATTGTCACAAAAAAATTAGAGCTATTGTTAATACCGTTGGCTTGTGTTGGTTTAGTAGTGGTATTGGTTAAACTTTTTGTGACCATACTAAAATTCTTTCAAGATGTTCATTTTAAACTCACTGTACTTGATCCTAAATCTAAATAAAAACTAATTCTAAAAAGACATATATCATCGAAATTCATGTTTGTCCATTTTTGTTTCGTTCTTTGACTTTTGTTTTTTGGTTTAGTTTTATGTTGAAGTCTATTTTTCTCAAAACCTGTCGAGACAGTGTCAAAGATCATCACCTCTTACCTGGAATATTTGTTCATCATTAGATTTTTCCTTATTAACAATTAAGCACTGGAAAAGTATTAGGCCTTATAAATTTTTATGTGATTGGTCTACAATGGAAGCTCTGGAATACAAAATATAAATATGTTGATAGCATTAATTTTAGTATCAGACATAACAAACCACAAAAGAATTATATATGTATGAGATACATGATCTGAAATTACATATATTTACATAGCAGAATAATTATAAAATGTTTTAGAGCAAAATAAGATTTTTCATCACATAAATGTTAAATACTCAACTAGAATACTCAACTAGAACTTATTAATCAACATATTTTTTTTCTGAAGTCATATTTTATAAGAATATGCAAATGATACATTTCTATTGTTTGTATCAATATTTGAAATACTTATGGAAAACATGTGCCCTGATTGTAGACCAATCTACATTAAGCTGTTCAATATAATATTAGTTAAATCTATAACATATATCCTATTAGTTTCTTTATATATAGCTTATCCAGGTGTAGATTTATCCTGCTGTTTAAAGGAACTCCACTGAGGTCCAAAAGTCTAAAAACATAAAATTTGAATTTCTTACATAGATCACCTTGGGCACTTGAAACACAAAGATTTGAAAATGATTATTAAGAAATATACAGAGAAATGTATTACAAATTAAGTTTTTGAGTTATTCTTAGTCTGATTTGAGTGAAAATAGCAAATTTGGATCATTTTTAGCTCGACTATTCGAAGAATATGAGAGCTATTGTAGTCGCCCCGGCGTCGGCGTCGGCGTCCGCGTCGGCGTCTGCGTTGGTTAAAGTTTTTTGTAAATTCAAATATTTCAATTATTGCTTGAGATATTCAATTGAAACTTACAATACTTATTTATAGTAACAATGTACATCAGATTGACAAGTTGGATAACTCTACCTACAATATTGACAGAATTATGCCCCTTTTTAACTTAGAAATTTTGGTTAAAGTTTTTTGTAAAGTCAAATATCTCAATTATTGCTTGAGATATTCAATTGAAACTTGCAATACTTATTTATAGTAACAATGTACATCAGATTGACAAGTTGGATAACTCTACCTACAATATTGACAGAATTATGCCCCTTTTTAACTTAGAAATTTTGGTTAAAGTTTTTTGTAAAGTCAAATATCTCAATTATTGCTTGAGATATTCAATTGAAACTTGCAATACTTATTTATAGTAACAATGTACATCAGTTTGACAAGTTGGATAACTCTACCTACAATATTGACAGAATTATGCCCCTTTTTAACTTAGAAATTTTGGTTTATGTTTTTTTGTAAATTCAAATATCTCAATTATTGCTTGAGATATTCAATTGAAACTTGCAATACTTATTTATAGTAACAATGTACATCAGTTTGACAAGTTGGATAACTCTACCTACAATATTTTCAGAATTATGCCCCTTTTTAACTTAGAAATTTTGGTTTATGTTTTTTTGTAAATTCAAATATCTTAATTATTGCTTGAGATATTCAATTGAAACTTACAATACTTATTTATAGTAACAATGTACATCAGATTGACAAGTTGGATAACTCTACCTACAATAATGACAGAATTATGCCCCTTTTTAACTTAGAAATTTTGGTTAAAGTTTTTTGTAAAGTCAAATATCTCAATTATTGCCTGAGATTTTCAATTTAACCTTACAATACTTATTTATAGTAACAATGTATATCAGTTTGCAAAATAGCATAACTCTGCCTGCAATATTTGTAGAATTATTTGTTTTGAAACTTAAAAATTTTGGTTAAAGGTTAAAGGTCTTCAAAGATATTTACTTGAAACTTTACACATGTACTTAGGGTCATAATTGGAGAGTCATAATTGTTGTATGTCACTGACCAAGTTCCATAACTCTACTCGCATTAAGGCTGATTCATCTCCCCTTTTCTACTTAGTCTCTTGGTTAATGTTTACATGCAAGTTTTACATATCTCAATAACTATTAAAGATATTTATTTAAAACTTCACATATGCATTTAGGGTCATAATTGTAGGTCACTGACAAAGATCCATAATTCTATCTTGCATTTAGGCTGATTTTTCTCCCCTTTTTCAACTTATGGTAAAGTTTTGCTTGTAAGTTGTTATCTCAATAACTACTGAAGGGTTTGTGCCTTTTTTGGGACAATTTTATGCATTCATGATAATAAAGCAGTGATTTACTTGATAAAACATCTTAATAACAAGCCTTTGTACCTTTTCTGTCAAATTTATGTATTCATAGGTAATTAGTATTATTATACTCAATAAAACACCCTTGTGACATTACCTTCCGAATAGTCAAGCCAATACTGTATAATTAGACTCTCTCTAAGGCCTATAACATGAATTTATAAAAAAAAATTAGCCCTTTTGTGAACTTAAAAAAATTTAACATTATCAAGGCTCTTTTACTATCAAGCACTTAGGATAGTCGAGCGTGCTGTCCTACTGACAGCTCTTGTTTACAATTAGAATCATTATTCTGGGACAAGTGAGTGAGCAAATGATCTGATGTTTTGTACACAAGTTATTGATATAGGCCTGCATCAAATAGAACATTAATCTTGCAAAATTATTTCCAGTTTCGTCATGTCAAGAAACCTTGGTGGATTCCCTTTAATGTGTATAACTTTCATGTATCAAGTTTATAATTGGTATTATAAATAGATAACTTAAATCTAACTTTTCTGGTATTCTTAGTAACAGACAAGACAGTTTAAACAAAGAGGAGGGCAATTTATTTCTTCTTTTCTCTTTAGATTTCATTTCTTTCCTATTTATAAACATCTGAGTCTTTCTAACATACATAACTTGGCTGTCATGTCTGACTCAGATTGAGGACATGTTAATGTTGGTTTTAATATGTTTATTCTATTTACAAAAGCTTCAATACTCAAACATAACTCGGGGCTTCCTTTAAATTTCAGAGTTTGGCAGTCAGAGACTGCAAAATCTCTGATATTGGATAGGTACAGAAGGAAAAGTATTAGACTTTGGAAATCACAAGCTATAATCAAGGAGTAAATGACTAGCTATAACTTGATTAACAAAAGCCCTGATAACTTAACTCTAGACAAGAATTTTCTATAGACATACTGAAATATGACCTTGAAGAACTTTCTATAAACATATTGAAATATGAACATACTGAAATCTGAAATATGACCTTAACTATCAAGTACAAAGTTTTAAAAAGAATCAGGAAATTTTACCATATCTTTGTAAGAACAGATTCAAAACATGGGCGTTAATATTTTGTGTTGTGCTACCACATCATGATTAACAGTATTCAAGTTTGGCATATGTGTTGTTATATATTAAAATATGTTCCTCATTTAGGATTTTGCAGGAAATGGATTTAAATACAGATGAAATAAAACTTACTTTAATGTGAAAATACGTTTATTTGCTCTGATTACTGCCTGACAGTCACATGATAAATCAGGATTGTTATATTTTATATTCTTCAGGACGGAGCTCTAAATGAGGCCCCTACTATAACAACATACCGTGCTGTAAGTTCGTCACAAAATGGAGGATCTGGTGAACCTGCGAAGATCCCGGCCTCGTTAAAAAACATAAAACGTCTGAGTACATGCGAGGATGTTGTCACTTTAACCCCATCTAGGTAACAAATCATCTAGATACATTCATAGGTTTATTACTTCAGAAACAAGGTCACTTTCCATGATGAAATGGAAGGAATATCAGACTTTGCTCAGCAAGTGAACTTGTATTTCTTATATGATAACTTGATAGAAAGAAAAAAAGTTGGTGGTTTTTCCCTGGTGTGAGAATCAGTTTTAAATAATGCTTGGAAGGGCAGTTGGGGGTTTTCTTTATATAAAGTTGCCATAAAAATGTCTGTATCCAAAATCTCAGCACCTAATAATATTCATACATGTATATATCTATGTCACAATCATATTGTAAAGTATCACACAGTTATTTAGTCTGGAAAAAGTTTTAACCTTCTTTATTAGTAATCAATAAATTACAAGCAGTTTTTAGTGCATATTTATTGATAAAATAAAAAAATTGCCAGCGATACCTATTCCTATATGTATTATATTTACAAATACAGTCAAACCAGTGTTGAAAGGGCACCACCAAACACCAATCAATCTTCGTCACCCTCAATAGTAGATTCCCAGTCAGACAAGGCTTTTGTAAACAGTAAAATTGCTGCTTTTGAAAATAAAGGTAAGGTTTATGAAATAATTTGGCATCTTAGTTTATTGTTAACAATATCTGCCGAATAGAGCACTGAATTAGGAAATATGTATATACAAACTTTCCAAATAGCCTTTGTTATTGATACAGAGGAATGAAATATATTGACAATATTTGTAGATATTCCCCTTATTTCATATTTTAACTGTACTGTATATATAGTCATAATCCCCTTGCATTGTGGTGTAAACAAGCACCTATATTGTTGTAAACAAGCGCTTAACCATACATGCCATAATTTTTACACTCATTTCCGGGACACTTTTCATTTAGAAGTGGGGCATTGATTAGCAAACGTATTTTTTTTAAATTTACATAGTGGCATACAACCTATATTACCGCTTGCAAATTTAATGACACCATAAACAAAAGACAGAATGTCAATAATTATTAACAGTTTTTCTATCTTTTTTAAGTATTTAGGCATCGTTAATTCAATCCGTCACAGAATAGAATAAAGCTATGTTAAGTAATGACAATTAGCCATGTCGTTTACCTGAAACATTCGCGGAATCTTGTAGATTTTATCACCTTAAATTTAGCGGTAATTTTCACGGTGTTTGACCACTAATAACTGCCTTCAGGCGGATTAAATTTATTCTGGCCAGTTGTTAATTACAGTGTATGACACCTTCCCTCAGGAAGCCACATGGGGTAAACATTTAATCTTTTAATTGATCAAAATTATTGCCGATAATTGTTTGTTGGAAGGGGCACGTAGATATACCAATCAAAGGATTAGTGTCACCATTGCAATGCTGTTAGGGGATAATCGTTCGTTATTAGCGTTCTAGACTAGTTTAGACTTCCTTATTGAAGAAGGTATTTTTTTATGAAACGCTTAAATTGAATTTCTTAAAGACTTTTCTAGATAAAAATGAAGACGAACGATGCGTCATGTACAATATAGAGAAAATGTTTTGCTGAATTGTGATCACAATTCACTTACCAATACAATATAAGGCTAGCGTATTGTTAATCCCATTTAAGACACCAATAATGACCTCAATTATTGAAGATTAATAGTCGGCTAATGGATTTTACTGCCCCATCGGACTTTCCAATCCGCGAATATTTTTTTTCGGAAATCAAGAAAACGCGGAAATTAATATTCGCGAATATGTCCGACCTCGGCAAAACGCGAAAATTTGTATTCGCGAATATAAATTGGGTTACAGTAAATCATCTCCGGGACACCTACGGGACAGACACCTTATTTCCGGGACTGTCCCGGGCATCCGGGACGTTATGGCATGTATGGCTTAACCATAATAATGTATACACATGTGTAAACTCCTAATTATATTAATGTAAGCAAGCAAACTTAAAATGTAAACAAGTGTGTAGGCAAACTATTGTAAACAAGCCCTTTAACTTTAAAAAAATGTAACTACACCCAAAACATAAGAAATATAAAAAACACTTTACCTTTACACTGTAAAAGAGTGTGTAATTTAAGAAGTGTGGATTTGTATGAAAAGTTACCATTCTAGGTTCAATTTAAGATGTGTTGATTTCTATACAAAGTGAACCATTCTAGGTTTCAATTTTAGAAGTGTTGATTTGTATAAAGAGTTACCATTCTAGGTTCAATTTTAGAAGTGTTGATTTGTATAAAGAGTTACCATTCTAGGTTCAATTTTAGAAGTGTTGATTTATATAAAGAGTTACCATTCTAGGTTCAATTTTAGATGTGTTGATTTGTATAAAGAGTTACCATTCTAGGTTCAATTTTAGAAGTGTTGATTTATATAAAGAGTTACCATTCTAGGTTCAATTTTAGAAGTTTTGATTTGTATAAAGAGTTACCATTCTAGGTTCAATTTAAGAAGTGTTGATTTATATAAAGAGTTACCATTCTAGGTTCAAATAACAACACAGGTGAGGTTGGGACATCACCAAGCAGACGACAATTTGATCGCAGATCTTGGTCCACGAGTCAGGAAAACCCTCCAGATGTCATAGCCAATGGTATCAAGGGAACAAATGAAGTAAGGACTAAATTTATATTGATTTTCTTAATAAAACAATATTGAAATTTGCTGAACTTTTTTTATTCATTGCTTTGGTGACCAGTTGTACATTAATGATAAAACTATGATTTTGTTCTTTGATTTAAATTGAGATAATCGTTGAGAAATATATCTGAGATTATTTATTTGTCTTTTGAAAATTAATTGCAATACATCTGTCAATTTGTGCTGATACAACCTTTTTAAGTAAATAGTTATACTGTATATTGTTGGCAAAGGTTTTTTTACTACCCCTGATATTGATATTAAAATAGGTGTTAAAGGTCATGAGTGATAAAGAGCCAGTCTAACCTCTTGCTTATACTATCTTGTATACCCTTATGCTTTATATGCTTGAATGCTTTTGCTGTAAACCTTTTTTTTGCAGTCACATAATTTTCAATTAAATTTCTTTTAGACCTAGAATATTGTTCTTTTACCTGCTAAATTTCTTATATGAACTTGTCCATCTGTCTGTTTCAAAGAAGAATTCACTCTTTTATGATTGTTGAGTCATATTGTTGTCGTAGTGCAAAAACTTTAATGTAGTCCATTATTCGAATGTTTTAGAAGTTATCAGCTTGAAACACAGAATACTTGCTTATTTTGACAAGATGAAGTTGTTGGACAAGGGGCATAAGTCTGAAAGCTGTTATTTTGGAGTTAAGTCCCTTTTTGACTGAGAATTTTTGTCAAAAGTGGTAACTTTAACAGACGAGCATTCACACAGCATGTGGTGCACCTGTTTGAAATGATTATTGTCAACTTTAGGGAAGTTTAATTAGCCAGCAGTATAGGGCCTGTCTAGAGTGTGCGGATCTGCTGGCTGACCTGGCTCTATTTTGGTGGTAAAGGCTAATCACTTTTGGTTAAATGTTACAGGTTCAAATTTTAAAAGAAAACCAAAAAAACAAAAACAAGCAAATAAATGTGTACGTTTCTAGAGGTGAACAAAAAAAAAGAAATATTTTCATCAATTTATATATTTATGGTAAAAAGACTCATTTTAAGGTACTGTTAATATATTTATGGTAAAAAGACTGATTTTAAGGTACTGTTAGTATATTTAAGGTAGAACAACTGATTTTAAGGCACTGTTAATATATTTAAGGTAAAAAGACTGATTTTAAGGCGGTGTTTATATATTTAAGGTAAAGAGACTGATTTTAAGGCACTGTTAATACATTTAAGGTAAAGAGACTGATTTTAAGGCACTGTTAATATATTTAAAGTAAAAAGACTGATTTTAAGGTACTGTTAATATATTTATGGTAAAAAGACTGATTTTAAGGTACTGTTAATATATTTATGGTTAAAAGACTGATTTTAAGGTACTGTTAATATATTTAAGGTAGAACGACTCATTTTAAGGCACTGTTAATATATTTAAGGTAAAAGACTCATTTTAAGGCACTGATAATATATTTAAGGTAGAAAGACTCATTTTAAGGTACTGTTAATATATTTAAGGTAGAAAGACTCATTTTAAGGTACTGTTATTATATTTATGGTAAAAAGACTGTATACATGTATCTTGAGACTGAAATAGGTGGGTTATGATGAACTTATCTGACCAAACTGTTGCTTGTCATACGAAGAAATACACTTCATTGACAGTTGATTGGTTTGCAAGAAAATGACTGAAATGCTGTTTTCAAAAAACTTGATTTCAACCCACAAATGCATGATAGATTTTTGTCATATTTAACACTTTTGGATAGATGAATTTTACACTTTTCCTGTTTATCCAGTCTTCAAAGGGTCCAAACAGACCAGTCAATATAAAGAATGCTGCCCAGTATTTTGAACATAGAGAGATTCAAATAATTGACATTCAAGATAGAGAAAACACCAAAAAGTTAGAAAACCGCCAAAAAGATGGAAAGAATGCCAAATCATTGCCTGTCCGTTCTACTCCTGCTGGTAGATTGATACTAGGGGAGGTAAATGAGCACAGATCTAAGCAGCCAGCACATGTGAGTGAAAGTTGTTTCCCTTTGACTGTTATGCTGTTTTGTAGAAAAGAAATGAATATAGCCATAATATTGAACAGAATATAAACAATGCAGTTTTATATGAGATGAAGGATAGGGGTATCTGTCAGCAAAGGAGGTTTCTAGAATCTAGAATGCAAATCAGTTCCCTAATATAAATAATGTTTATAAAATGGGTGATGTCAGGGTCCGATGATCCTAAATTGTGTTACAGTGTTATTGATATACTTTGATGTGTCAAATATTCATTATCATTATTTAATGAACAAGTAAATTGTTACTTCAGCCACACCATGGCTACAGTTAAATGAGCCCAGTTCATTTTACCTCCCACCAGTGTCCCTGCACAGCCAGATCAATGTGGTGGGGTGGGTTTTGGCACCAGAATTGCTTAAGATGGGATATGCCCTAAGGCAACTTGCAGTGCAAGGACTTTTAATGGGTGTTTTACCGTGTGTGACTGTTTCCACAGGGCAGGATGATTGCCAGAGGATTGAAAATTCAAAGTCCTGGCTATTCCCTATTCTTTTTATGATTAAAATATTTGTGAAGTCTTATGTATTTTACTTTTCTTTCTTTATAAAAAACCATTTTCTTACACTTTTTTCCAGAACTGAATCATTACTCCGCTTGTTTTAGCTTTTGCTTATAAAATTAATGATAAACTGCATTGTTTCTATTTGTTGTTACTTGACACTTTCAACTTTTGCTCTGAAAACAAGAGATTTAAGATGTATTCACTAAATCTTGCAATAAAGGAGGGGGGGATAGGATGAGTAGAACATGTTACATTTGATTTTACATTATTAACTAATTTGAAGTATAAAGTGATCCACATGGAGTTTTCTATAAAAATATTAAAATTAAACTTTCATATTGATCTGTTAAGAAATATGGGGCATTTCTTTGATTAAAACAAAGCTATTGTTCATTGTATTTAGTTTTATGAAATTTACATAATATAAATTAATCATGATGGAAATGAAATAACATAATCCTTGTTTTAAGATAAAGTTGGAAGGGTCTGAGAAGAAATACATCATATTATATGTTTTCTGATAAATGCCCCTCCCCTATTGAATGCCCCCCTTCTCTAATACCCCCTCCCCACTTCAATATTTTACTTTTGTTCTTTCACTTTTTGGAAAATGTAACATCTCTGTAGGCATTTATCAGAAAATAATGTTATGTTTGTAAATGATGTTCAAGAAATTAACTGTTTTCATGCCTACAGTTATACAATGCATAATTAGAAATTAAGTGAAGTAATCAGTAAACATAATTATGAAGTCTAACCTTAAAATGACAGGTTTGTTAAGTCTGTCTTATTAAAGCTACATGCCTCCAGATGTGTCAAAATATTTCAATGTAATCAAACTTGAGAAAAATGTACTAAGATGTAAGGAAAAAATTTCAAGATTTAAGTAATATTTTACATATAATGTGTGATTTAAATGACTGATTTTTCAGTATACACAACTATATTTACTAACACAGTTAAGGCTATTTATGCATATTTTGACCACTGTTTGGTAAATTTAAGTGGTTTGTGAGTGCCATTGATAATGTGTAAATTGCTTCCTTTTGGTTAATTCTTAACATTACATATTCAAATTAATTTTCAAAATTTTCATGAAAACAAGAATGAATCTGGAGGCGTGCTGCTTTAAAACAGGGATTCATTATGTGTTAGTCCTAGATTTTGTGGAAATATCTATTCTGCTATCCTAATACAAAGTCTGTTATCTAAAAAAAGTGCTGCTGCTTTTGGATTGAAAATGGCATTTGAGGCGTCCATAGATAGATGGTACTTTTATGTGATTAATGTAATAACATGTGTAATGTACATTGCGTAGATAGTTGCTTTAAAATATTAAGAACTTATTCAATACTTATATATCATGTACTTCATTTCCTAGCCTCAGTGTTAAACTATTGTAACTAATTCATTCTTTTGTACATAGTTACAATAGTTTTGCATGAAGGTGATAATTTACTATGTAAGTAAAATAGTTTGCTTGTTATATATGCAATATTCTTCTTTAAATCTGTTTATATATAATTGTAGTAAATGCTAATTATAGCCATCATTATTCGAGCCGCGTCATGACAAAACCAACATAATGGGCTTGCGACCAGCAAGGATCCAGACCAGCCTTTGCATCCGCGCAGTCTGATCAGGATCCATGCTGTTTGCTATCAGTTTCTCTACTTGTTATAGTGTTTGTAAGCGAACAGCATGGATCCTGATCAGACTGCGCGGATGCGCGGGCTGGTCTGGATCCATGCTGGTCGCAAACGCATTACGTTGGTTTTGTCATGACATGGCTCATTCATTAAAAGACAAGATGTCTGACAAGAATATGGACATTAAGGTCTGTAGTTAACAAAATGTCAAAGTTTTGTTTTATTTCAATATAATAATAATTATTACAAAAATGGAAGAGAGAGAGTGTAATGTTTCATTGATTGATTAACATAAGCTTTTTTTTGTCCATTCTTCCATTTTTCCGATAAGATACATTCTGGTACACGTATATTATTTATGATTGATCTTTAAAGATCAGTTCATGTAATTAAGATATTGGATGTAGGATGTTAAACATTAGATTACTTTTGAAACCACACAGAAATATGCTCTAAGATATATTTTCTTAGTAATTTTAATTGATGTTTGTATATCATCTGGATTCATCAACTTGCATGATATGTTGTCTGACAAAGTTTATGGTGAAGGGAACATAATGAAAAGATTTTACTAAAACTGTTTCTCAGTCATATCAAAATGTTAACACAGACCGTTAATGTCCTACTCTTGAAATCTAGCTATATGTATAATCTAATCTTTGCTTTTTTCTATCTCCCCCGCCTTGTAGAAGATACATGTAAAGAAAACATGGTCGCCAATTAAACCACCTAGTAATCCAATGTGGGAGGATATGGGTGACGTTCCTAACACTGATCCCGAGGTTAGTATAACACCTGTGTGACATTCCCTCACTTCTGCTCTATACGACCTGTAAAAGGAAGTAATAAATTTAGCGGATACTTAAGTATAATGTTGAGGTAAGGAGAGGGAAACAAATATGACAAAATTTAACTGATAATCTGAGACATACGTGTTTTTTCAGAAACAAAAATAGATAGATATAGAGATCAGAAGTTGCGATGTTATGAACTGAGAATTCTAACAGATTATGCAATGTATTTCCTATGAACCCGAGTAAAGACCAGCATATATAAAATCATAATGGTATTATTTACTCCCTAGTGCATTTATACAGTAATAAAGATAGCTGGTATTATTTACCCCCTAGTACATTTATACAGTAATAAAACATGGCTGGTATTATTTACTCCCTAGTGCATTTATGCAGTAATAAAAGATAGCTGGTATTATTTACTCCCCTAGTATATTTTTACAGAAATAAAAGATAGCTGGTATTATTTATTCCCTAGTACATTTATACATTATTTACTCCCCTAGTATATTTATACAGTTATAACAGATAGGTGGTATTATTTACTCCCAAGTGCATTTATACAGTAATTAAAGATAGCTTTTATTATTTACTCCCTAGTATATTTTTTACAGTAATAAACATAATAAGTATGAGTCACTTCCTAGTACATTTATTCAGCAATACAACAAGGCTGTTATAATTTTCTCCCTTGTACATTTACATAGTTATTTCTGTACATAGGATTGTCAAAATATTATGTCATGATGTTATTAATAGTGACTTCAAATTTGTGCTTATATGATTTAAGTTAAAATCTTACCTATGCCACACCCTTGTGTTTTTGATATCCATTGATAGCAATTTGTTAAAATGATAATGACTTGCCTTTATTTAATCTGAAATTATGAAACATTGCGAGGAAAGACAGTTTCTTGTTTTAAGCATTCATGTGTAGAACTCTACCCATGCTTTTAAATAACTTATTAAATATGACTTCATTTTCTAAATGAACATCATTAAACATGTGGTTAGAATTTATTTCTTTTTAATTTTTATTTCAGTTGAGGAAAGCATACTTCCAACAAGCCCAGGAGATTAAGGCTTTGAAAGAGCAACTGGCCTTGAAAGATAAAAGAATTCGACAACTTGAAGATGAGGCAAATTTATTGAAAAAATCTGCAAATGAGGAAAGCAATTGCTGACAGTATATTTGAAAAAGGAATATTTGAAAAAGGAATGTTTGAAAAAGGAAAAAAACTTGTAATTTTACACCTGACAGTTGATGTTTAACATTGTTTTAAGTTGGTGAAATAGAATAGTTTTTGGGGGATAATTCCCCACAGCTTTACAGCTTTGGAGAAAATCCTCCAACGCTTTCTTAAATAATGTTTCTTTTACAGGTATTAAATCATTTTAAAAACATTTGTGAAAGGTCACTGAAGTCAAGTTTACAGTTTTTGTTATAAGTTTTATAACCAAAGGTTTGTTTAGTCACAGTTTATGTTATAAGTTTTAAAACCAAAGGATTGTTGTTGTTTTTTTTACTTTGGAGAGTCAACTACATTGTATATTGGTTTATATTTTGATTTGTTCAACAAAATTAGTTTCACCATATCATAAAAGACATTTTAGGTTAATCAGGGTTGTTTATTGTAAGGGACATTCATGCAAGCAAACTGTAAATAGGTTGCTTAAGGTTGGTTTACAAAGTGTCACAATATTTTACATGTATATAGATAAGTTTATTCTTGCTTTTTGCTAAATGAACCAATGCCAAAAAGGTTTATTGATTCATCATTCTTTTATTGATTTATCATTTCTTTATTGATTCATCATTCCTTTATTGATTTATCATTCCAATTCATATTCTACAGGCATCCCATATTATAAGGGCTGTACCACTTACATATATGCAAAACAATGTTTACCATTCCATGTGGGGGAAGCAAAGGCTTTGTGTATGTAAATATATGTAATACAATCTCTGCTTAGCAACCCCCTGTACAGAAGACAGTTACTTTGGTTGTTACTTAGAGGGGTTGCTCTGGAGAGGTTAGATTTATTGTAAAGTCTTGCACATATTTGTTGTCTACAGAAGGCTATTATATAGAGGTTTTACTGTACATTTTGTCGGAGATTACATAAATCATGCTTCATTTAATACATCAGTTAGGACTTTGAGTTAAATCCATTATTTGTAGGTCTTGTTTTTAATTTTTTTCAATATAATAAGGGTCCAGCTATAGTTTTATGCATTCCGTTATTAGAGGGCTTTGCAATGCAAATATTGGGTCCAATATTATTTTGGTTTTGCATTCCATTATTAAAGGATGTTGCAATGCACATATTTGGCTCAACAATATTGGGATCTGGCTATAGTTTTTGCATTCCATTTATATATAGGGCACTGCAATGCACATACTAAGCACAACATTATTTTATTTTGGCAGAAAAGTTTTGCATTGCATTATTAAAGGGCACTATTATGCAAATATTTGGTTCAATATTATTGGGGTCTGGCAGAAGAGTTTTACAGTCCATTATTAAAGTGCACTGCAATGCACTGATTAGTCCAATATTATTGGGGACTGGCAGAAAAGTTTGCTTTGCTATTTTAAAGGGCGTTTTAATGCACATAATGGCTCAACATTACTGCAGTCCTGCTATAGATTTTGCATTCCATTTAAAAAGGGCACTGCAATGTCATCATTGGTCCAATATTATTCAATATTATAAGGGTCCAGATACAGTTTTTGCATTCCATTATCAAAGGGTATTTGCAATGCACATTTGTTCTAATATTGTTGGGATCTGGCGGAAAAGATTCCATTATTAAAGGGCAATGCAGTGCTCATATTGGCTCAATATAACTGTGTTCTGTTATAGTTTTTGCATTCCATTAATAAAGGGCACTGCAATGCACACATTTGGTCCAAAATAATTAGGCCCCTGCTATAGTTTTTGCATTCTATTTTTAAAGTGCACTGCAATGCAAATATTTGTTCCAATATTATTGGGGTCTGGCAGAAGAGTTTTGCATTCCATTATTAAAGTTTATTGCAGTGAGGTCTCTAACATTTTTAGGGCCTGGTAAAAGTTATTTGTTGTTTTTTTTGTCCCAGAATTACGTTGTCAGAACAATGTGCATTCCAGCATAATAAATATCTGGCATTGGTATATTGTTACATTCCAATAGTTTATATAACAGATGATGGTGTGGGGTTTTGTTGTATGCTAATAAACCGCCTGAGAAAACATACAGAGTTAAATATTGGTAGATTCTTGCAAGAGTATTTTAGGTACAATAACAATGCTTTGTTTATCATATGAACCACATTTCTATATTGTTAGCTCACCTGTCACAAAGTGACAGGGTGAGCTTTTGTGATCGCTTTTCGTCCGGCGTCCGTCCGTCCGTAAACTTTTACTTTAAATGACATCTCCTCATAAACCACAGGAATGTTCCTTTGGTGGTCACCTTTAAAAATTGTTCAAAGAATTTAATTCCATGCAGAACTCTGGTTGCCATGGCAACCGAAAGAAAAAACTTTAAATATCTTCTTTTAAAAAACCATAAGAGCTAGAGCTTAGATATTTGGCATGAAACATCTTCTAGTGAGTGTCTACCAAGTTTGTTCAAATAAAAGCCCTGGGGTCAAAATTGGCCCCGCCCCGGGGGGTCATTCATTTTCCCTATATGCATATAGTAAAAACTTAAAAAATCTTCTTTTAAAGAACCCAAAGAGCTAGAGCTAAGATATTTAGCATGAAACATGTTCTAGTGGGTGTTTACCAAGTTTGTTCAAATAAAAGCCCTGGGGTCAAAATTGGCCCCGCCCCGGGGGGTCATTGATTTTCCCTATATGCATATAGTAAAAACTTAAAAAATCTTCTTTTAAAGAACCAAAAGAGTTAGAGCTAAGTTATTTAGCATGAAACATGTTCTAATAAGTGTCTACCAAGTTTGTTCAAATAAAAGCCCTGGGGTCAAAATTGGCCCCGCCCTGGGGGGTCATTGATTTTCCCTATATGCATAAAGTATAAACTTAAAAAATCTTCTTTTAAAGAACTCAAAGAGCTATGGCTAAGATATTTAGCATCAAACATGTTCTAATAGGTGTCTACCAAGTTTGTTCAAATAAAAGCCCTGGGGTCAAAATTGGTACCACCCGGGGGTCATTGATTTTCCTTATATGTGTATAGCAAAAACTTAAAAAATCTTCTTTGAAAAAACCCAAATAGCTAGAGTTAAGATATTAAGCATGAAACATCTTTTAGTGAGTGTCTACAAAGTTTGTTCAAATAAAAGACCTGGGGTCAAAATTGGCCCCGACCCGGGGGTCATTGATTTTCTTTATATGTGTATAGCAAAAACTTGAAATCTTCTTTGAAAAAACCCAAATAGCTAGAGTTTAGATATTAAGCATGAAACATCTTCTAGTAAGTGTCTACAAAGTTTGTTCAAATAAATTGGGGGGCCTATATACAGGTGAGCGACCTCAGGGCCATCATGGCCCTCTTGTTTTAAAGATATTCTTGTATGAAATCTCTTTTGAAAAATCTTTTTTTTAAATAACCCAACGTTATAATGAAGAAATACTTAAAGGGACTCCACTGAGGTTTTTTTACATGACGGGACTTGAAATATTTTTCACAAGATTTCTATACAATTTAATGTAGGACTGATCTAGTAACTTGAATGCCAATTTTCAGATTATTCCTTTATTTAGTTTTTCCAGAATCATCATTTTGATTGCGTAAAATGTCTTTAGATGGAAAAGTGTTACAATGCTTCTCACTCAAATCAGACTAAGAATCAAACAAAAAATTAATTTTTTTTTATTTAATTTTTAGCATATTTCTTTTAATATTATCCTTTTCAGATTTTTCCAATTTAAGCGCCTCACTTTATCGATGTAAGAATTTCTTATTTTATGTTTTTTGACTTCTGTGCCTCAGTGGAGAGCTATAATGTTTGGGGAATGACTTACACATAATAGATGGACAGTATATGTGAATTAAACTAATGAATTTAAATTTAGATGATGAATTCTTACGGTTTCAGATTCAGTTCACTTGTGTCTGATTCAGAAAAGTAAGGAAATTCATGTATTTATGGCATCAGTTTTAATATTTAATGTTCAAATTTTTTTCAAAGGAGGGGAGACTAGCAATGGTTATAATATTCTAGTATATAAAATGTCTTGATCTGTGTTCATGTATGTAAAATATACAATAGTTTGCCTGACATTGTTTCTCATACAAGAACATCATTCAGTTTTGTCATACAGGCATGTGTCATAAGTTGTCATACATAGATATATATAAACTATAAAAAGATCTGTTTCAAATGTTTGTACATACATTTATATGTTTATTGTTTGTTCTATATAGTGTTTAAGATAATTAAGATTTGTTTATAAACGTGTAAGATACAATTTTTGTGTTTATTTGGTAACAGGTTTGGTTTTATGTTATATATACACTAGACTGAAGGGAACAATATCTTTGAAAAGGTTTTACCAGGCATGTAGCTGAGGGCATTGAAATAAAAACACTTTGTTAGGGTTGTTAGAAGAAAAAAAACACCTTTACAAGTAATGTTGTATCTCATTCTTGCAATTTTAGCTTCTAAAAGGAACAAAAGCTTTTTGCCGCAATTATTGGCATCAGTTATGATTCATAAAATATATATATTATATTTGTGGTATTATATGCATGTATTCAAGATTAGATCTGACCCAATTATTCTGCATAAAATCTCAAAAAGAAGATATGTTTGCAGTTTTTATTATGTCATTTTTTTTATTTTTTTTGTTCATTGATACATATATTTCTGTTTTAACTATTATATATACAGATCTCTTTATTTTATTTTTACTGATGCTCGCTATATTATATGTAGTATATGTATATATTATAATATGCAATATGAAAAGGCTTTATCTCATGTTAGACTTTGTGTTAAAGCTGCACACCTCCAGATAAGTCAAAAATATTTTTATAAAATCAAACTAGAGAAAAATGTACACAGATTTTTTAAGAAAAGTAAAGAGATTCAATTAATGATTTCATGATATTTTCAATTAATGATTGATTCTGCAGTATTTATCATTATATTGCTACTGTGTGTAAATTTTTAATGAAAATAAGCATGAATTTGGAGTTGTTAAAAACATGTGACACCGACTGTCACTAATTCAAAACGTCAACCTGCAACTTTTGTCCTCTTTTTGTATCTGACCAAAATGGTGTGATTTTCACTATATTTCTTATATATTTATATATTGACAAGAGATCAGATTCAAGAGTTTCATAGATCTGTGTCCGAGCGATCCTAGATAGAACAATATATATTATGTAGGAATTTTTCTGAGAATGGTCGTGAGTTTGAGCCAATTAAGGTATTCGAGTGATCGTAGTTTGAGCGACAGTTCAACTGTATTTAAAACAGGAAAAAATAGGTAATTTATTATATTAGGTTTAACATTTTAACTCAAGGTTGAATAACTTTGATTGGGAACACCAAACAACATTTTAACTTATTAGAACATAGTATTTGTAAAGTAAATACAGATCTGGAGTTGTGCTGCTTTAAGGGTACTTTATTAAATTTTCTCCTGATTAAAACCATTCCATCTTTGTTGTCATTTTATACTGTTACCTTGCCATTTTTAATGTTTCATTTGACGAAGGGTTTTAATATACCCAGTTTTACATTCATTTCCATCACTTAATACAATGCCTTAGTTGATGATAAGCCAGCGAGGTGGGAAAATTTGTTTAGCACTAGTCTGTATGTTAAAGGCTTTACTTACACATTTACATATTATTACATTTGAAAACGCTTTGTCATGTCAATGTTAGATTAAAGGCCCTTTGTGCCCATGAAATATTTAAAAAAAGTAATTTTCAGTGTCCTTTTTAAAATACCTAAAACTTTTTCATTGGCCAATTGCCTGAACCATCATTTGCCACTGTAAGGATTTGGCAATAAGCACAGTTCTAGTGATTAAGTAGTTTGTATGGAAACAAAAAAAACTTCTTTATTTACAGTTTTGCTACTTTTATGATTGAATATAATGTCTTCAGGTGATAAGAATACAACACGCTCAAAACCATTATATATAAACATTATTAAATTCATGTCTACCCTTTCTAAAATAGGAAACATTTATTTGCTACTGAGGCATAATGTGCCTTTAAAATTAATATATTCTCTACACTGTACTTTTTAATTTATTTTTTTTCACCAGCAGTATTGTGTTTTTAAAGTCCCACTGTTTTGTTTTGTACTTGTATGATCTGATTGATTCATATATTGGCTTTTTTATTTGCTTAGGTTGAAACATGTATTGTGGGTGAATTTTTGCATCAAGTTTTGTGGTTATTTGAACATTAAGATTGACAATATTTTTATTAACAGATTAAAAAAACCTTAAAAAATGTCAAGGCAGGTTATTGCCATTTTGCATTCAAAGTTGTTGTTGTTTCTTTAAAATTCTATAATTATATTTTAATTTTTGCTTGAATATTGAACAAGATTCTTCAAAACATTACATAATGTTTTAGTAAAATAACCGTTAGTGCCACCAACAGATTTGCTTTTGTATGTTTATTATTTTTGCACAGCTCACATGTTAAGTATTTGAACTTTTATGTATACCTTTAATTTTTATTTTTTAATCTTCAAGATTTTTTATATATGTATTAAAGCATTGATCGTCTTGACTGTCTCAAATGTTTGAATGCTTCCCAAGGACGGCATATTGTTTAATCATTTATGTTCATATATCAACGCCTCATTGGCTCGTTTATTTTTTCTTTATTTCTTCATGTTAATTTACTTTACATCTAGGTTGTCTTCTCCTTTCATTGTTGTTTGAGCATATCTTTTCAACACTTTCCATCCATATTACCAATCTTTGTTACCTGAATTATTTGTTGATTTTGTGTGCATAATTTGCAATGTTTCAAAACCCTGCACTATCTTTAAGCTGTCTTACCATTAGCCACATGGCAGCATTTGAATCTACCCATTTGAACAGTGCAGACAAAGTTCAGTCGGGATGTCCGTGCTGTTTGATAAAGATCTGCATTGTTTGGTTTTGTCCAAATTGCCAGTTGGACAAGTCCATTTAAAATATTCTGTGTGGTACCCTATCACTTTTTCCTTTTAACCACTATATACTGCTTGCTAACCACTTTTCCTTGCCTGTTAACCACTTTTCCTTGCCAGTATGTATTAAAAATATCCCTGTTTTTAAAGTGCTTAATTTAAAGTAAAGGGGATTTCTTATAGACATGTACATGATTATTCTAACAATACATACTTCTCCACATGTAAGTTAAAAGTCTTTTATAGAATGATAATGTTTTGGAAATAAATTTTTGAATGGCCTTTCCCGTTCACTTCTTCCCCCACCCCCATCCTCCACTCTGTTATACCACACCTTCATTATCTTGTTATTTATCTGCCAAATGGAATTGTCAATTTCAGGAAAGAATAATGTTGTAAAAATTCTTCTCCTTAATTATTATAACACATTTATATCATAACTGTAATCTAGTTATAAAGTTATAATGTTGTTATTTTAGAGTTATTTTGCTTTAATTAGAAATAAAAGTGTGACTTTTTGTATTATTTTTATTTGCGAACTTAAGTTCTAGAAAATATAGTAGATTATATTATAAGATGTTTTTACCTTATTTTTTATGTTGTATTTTATATGGCCACTTATTTTTTGTTGGCTTTAAAACCAGAAAATATTATTTTATTTACTTGTGTAGCAATGCTTAAAGTGCAAAATTTTCTGTGCTTCTCTTTCATTTATCATAGCATTACATTAAAACATTTCATACAGCAATATTAGGCAGTTATCCGTGGCCAAGAGGTTAATGTTAATGACTTCATACAACTTGCCTCTCATCATTGTTGGTTGGAGTAAGGCTGGCATCTGTGGCATAGAATTTTATGTTGTTGACTTCATACCACTTGCCGCTCATTATTGTAGATTCACGCCAGCGTCATCAGATTCTTTCATACCATAAAGCTGTCCAGCAAGCTTACGGACCGTTAGTGGTTTTACCAAGGTGTCCGTTCATGCCTAAAATGATGTGAAAAAAGTGAAGTGTCTCTAGCATTGCAAAAAATTTCAAACCATTAATCATACAATGTTTTTCCTCTGCTGTCTATGTTGGTGGATCTAAATACTGTATGGTATATTATGGTATATTATGGTAGATTAAATATCATTCATGAATCCACAGGAGGGTTCGGGGATCATGACCCCCCCCCCTCCCCCACTTCCTACCACTTGCCCTTCCATGAATTCCAGTCTCAACAGGGACTTGGATTCTTTCATTTGAGGAAGCCGTCCAGCTAGCTTATGGAAAGTCTGTGGTGCTATTCCGGTGCATGTTTGTGCCTGAAAAAAAAAGCATGGAAGGGCACCTGAGGTCTTCCTCCACCAGTAAAGCTGAAAAGTCGCCATATGACCTATACTATAGTAGTATGTTGGTGCCACATGAAAAAATTCAACAACAGATAATTTAATTTAAGTCTGAATTTTTTATTTTTTAATATTTGATTAAGTTCACTGTAAGGTCTACCTCAAAATTAAGGTTGTTATATTTATTTTTTTTCTTTTAAAGATTAAAGACGTATTTAAGTTTTTGTTGTTAGATATTTTGTTTTGTTTTTATGATTTTTTTATTTTGACCACTTTTGATTGTGTTTGGTTTAAGAAATAAAAACTATTATATCATGAAAATTTTAGAAGAGTTATTGAACCTTTCAATTTGAGTGTCATGTTAAAGTGGATTGGTCTATAATTTAAGTGACAGGTTGAAGTGGATTAGTCTACAATTGAAACATTTTCTATAAGTTTTTCAGATATTAATAAAAACAATTGAAATGTATTATTTGGATATATTTATAAAATATTTACATTGTATGGAATGAAAAATGTTGATAAAGTTCTAAGTGTTATAGTATAAGCATTTATATGATTAATAATACTATTTTATATGGTATTTAGTGTGGTCCTCCAACATGTTTTGTTAGTCATCCATAATTATCATGTGGTTTTGTATTATGTATGATACTCAGAACATCTATGGTATTATAGACCCTCTATTATAGACCACTTCACTTTAAACTTGTTGTATAAACCAGTTTGATTCAACCAGGAAATAGTTTAGGATATGTTATTTATTTGGATTTTAGTGTAATGTAGAATTAGGGACATATCTGGTACCTGATAGCTAAAATGTATGTAAAATCTTTGTTACTTTATTACATTCATTGTTAACATTTAAATAGTGTTGAAGTTTTTGAAATAATTTCCTCCTTTCTTTGTGTGTTTAAATATGGCTGTTTCATCTCACATACTTTTTCTTCCTTGTAAACCACTTAAGTTACCTGTATTCAAAACCTCACTGAAATATTTAACAAGACTAAATTTGATTACCTTGATGTCTGAGTTAAAAAAAAAACCTAGCTAAAAAAATGTTGAAGACTTTACATCAAGTTTTTCTTAATTTTCAATTTACACTGCCTAGTACTAGTATATGCTAGCTATTTTGCTTCACATATTTCATGGCTTTTATTGTTTTTTTTACTACACAGTTTATTTTAGCTTAAAGGGACTCCACTTAGGTCCAGAAGTCTAGAACATGTAGAACATATGATTTAAATTTCTTACATAGATCGACTGGGGCATTTAAAACAGAAATATATGTAGGAGATAAATAAAAAAAAAAAAATACTA